TCTCGAAAACTTCAAGGATTTGAACAGTCATATTTGGAGGCAAGATTTTTAATTCCTTAGAGTACTCTGACAGCACCCAACTACAAGGTTGCGAATTTCAAACTCTTTGAAAAATAATGAATTAATTTTTTCTGAAATTTTTGAAAAAAATCACAAAAAACGTCATATTTGGAGGCAAGAATCGCAATCTTAGAGAGTACTCTGACAGGACACAACTACAGGGTTGGGAATTTCAGAGTTGCGAAAAAAAATAAATGCAATTTTTTTAAAAATTTTTTGAAAAAATCACAAAATACGTCATATAATAATCATAATAATAATAAAACGGAATTTAGGATACATCCATTAGAGTTAGCTCCCAAATCAAGTTTATGAGATCGATCATATTTTAGTTTAATGAGTTTAGTTTTTTGAAGTTTAAGCATCTTGTGCATCCGCAGTTGATTCTCCAGGTGCATGTATCGACTTCATTGTAGATTTTCTCGTAGAATTGCCAGTACACTCTTGATACTTTTGGTTTAAACGAGTCACTTAATAGGACTTCATATTTCAGGTGATCGTGAAATATGTTTGTCAGGCTGCAGGCGCGTTGCCAGAAATCAGATTCGCATTTATAAAGTCGAAAGTTCTTCGCGTTGAAACGTCTTGTTGTTTTCGGTCGATTTGATTCAGTGATTTCTATAAATCGCCACCATTCCAGGTCGGTCTTTCCTCTTAGAATGTTCGCGAACAAAAGTAGTACATGCATTTCTTGGTAAAGAGACAAGGGAAGAATTTGAAGAGTGGTTAACCTCGATTTATAAGGAATTTGTTTATTTCCAAGTATCCATTTCGTTGCTCTCTGTTGCACTTTTTCTAAGGTGGCAAGATCTTGCTTTGAGGGTTTCCAGACTGATGATGCATAGCTAACGATAGGTACTACATAGCTTTTATATGCATTTTTCCTGTTGTTCATGGTTGTGGCAGGTGATAAGTTTCTTTTGATGCAGTAAAGGGCCTTCAGTGCTTTGCTTGCACGATTGTTTGCATGAGAAGTCCAGTTAAGATTTTTTGACATTGTCATTCCAAGATCTTTAAGTTCGTTAGGCTGTTCGAATTTGTACGAGAATATACTTAGGTTGCACTCGCCCTTAATTACTAGTGTTTTGCTCTTGGTCATATTGAGGCGCATTTCATTGGTTTCACACCACTTCCAGACTTTTCTAATATCAATGTGCAGGGTAGTCGGGTCGGTGCCTATAATTTTATAGTCATCCGCATAGCCGTATCACAATGACATGACACATTTTGGCAAGTCGTTGATGTATACGAAGAAAAGGAGTGGCCCTAGAATAGATCCTTGCGGCACTCCACTATAAATTGGCAGTTGGCTTGAGACCGAGCTGCCGATGCGTACTGTTTGGGTTCGACCGGTCAAGTAACTTTTGATTAGATCCAATATTGGGCCTGTTATTCCAGCTCTGCTGAGTTTTTCGATCGTTATATTGTGATTTACTTTGTCGAAAGCCTTCTGGAAGTTGAGGTAAAATGACGCTGGGAAGTTCACAAACATTTTGTGCAGGTATTCGATTAGGTTTGTTATAGATGAGCGTCTTTGCCGAAAACCGTGTTGAGATTGGGACAATGCGGTGGATAAGATTGGGTACATTCTGTCGAAAATAAGTTTCTCGAGGACTTTGGATATTGCTACGAGGAGGCTGATTGGCCTGTAATTATCTACCATTTGTTTGTTCCCTTCTTTAAATATGGGGATTATTTCGCTTGTTTTCCAGAATGATGGGAAGTAGCATTTGTTTGCAATTGTGTTGAATATGAGATGCAGTGACTTTGGTAGGGAGTCTGATAATTTTTTCAGCAGGTTGTTCCCCATACGGTCAAGTCCCTTGGCCTTGCTCTCGTCTAGCGATTGGAGAACGAGTTGTATTTCTAGTTCTGAGAAATGAATCATCGACAGCTTGGGCTGTCCCTCTGTGAAAGTATAATCGTGGTGATTCTTACTGAAAACGGATTGAAAGTATTGATTAAATAATTCGGCTTTTTCGATATCGGTATTAGCTGACTTATCGTCAAAAAATACTTCAGTTGGGATTGAGCTTGTTTTCATGATAGTTTTGAGGTATTTTTGGACGTTTGAGAAGATTCCAGACTTGAAAATTTCTGTTTCATGATTGCATTGGTCTGCTGAGAGCGATAAGGACAATTCAGTTTGTAATTGCTGGATCTTTAGGGTATTTGTTTTACTTTGGTGTCTGAGAGTTTCTACTTTTTTCATGAGGTTTGAGCTCGTGGGAGAAACCCAGGGCGCTAGATGTTTCCTATGTTGGGTTGTTCGGGGTATGTGTTTGACTATAATACCGTAGATCCAATTACACCACTGATCTACCAGGAGATCAACGTTGCTGTAGCAGTATGGGTTGAAGTGGTGCTCTCGCACATATTTGTTGATTTCGTTCCATTTGGCTTTTTTGAAGGCAAAGCCTGAAAAGTCGTACTTTTGGGAGGGTAGAGGGACCCTTCCGTGATTTATTTTGTGATTCATATGTAACTTTGAGCCGTAAGGTGGGTGATCTGAGGTGAAGTCGTTTTTGAGCCGATTGTCCATGAATATATCTAGTATGATATCAGGATTGTTGCAGAGCAGGATATCCAGGCTCTTTCCAGTATCGGTTATGATGAATTGTTCCAGGTTTAATTCCTGGAAGTTGTCTAGGATGCTTTGTTCGTACTCGCATTTTGATGAGAGTGATTTCCAATTTGTACACGAGAAGTTGATATCTCCAACAATGACAAGATTTTGTATGCCTTGCTCGCGTTGTGTTGCTTTTATTAAGTTCAGCAATGAGTTAAGTTGATCTAGTGACCATCGGTATGGGCTATACACAGGGGCACAATATATACAGCAGACAAGTATTGGTACAGATATCTTGAGTTGAACCATTACGCAGTCTTGCATGCCTGTATCAAAGCGGTTATGTGGTATGTTGGCGTTGATGCCAATTAGAACTCCTCCGTGTTTTGATAGACCGGCTTTTGAAGTTCTTTCAGATCGATAGAGTTCAAATTGAGGCAAGAATATGGAGTTGTCTGTTATGTCGTTGGTTAACCATGTTTCGGTTAGGCAAAGTAGTTGGTATTGACAGCTTGTGTTTATCGCATTTGCGAAGTTTGATCATCGAATGTAGTCGAGTATGCTTCGGACGTTGTAGATGAGTAAGCTAGGAAAGAGTTCTAGTCAATTGGAGATTGAGTTCTCCTTTTTTTCGGTTGCAACTGCTGTCCATCTGTTTTCTATTTTCTGGTAGAGTTTTCCATCGCGGGTGCGCAGGTTTTGCTTATCGATGTTTTCGTTTATGAGCTCCCGCCGTTTTTGCAGTGCTTGACTTTCGAGTTTTGCTTCATCCACTGATAGCTCGCGGCTGACAAACACAGGTTTGTCATATGTTTTTAGGCGGCAAGCGGATGATAGTATTAGTCGTTTCTGTCAAATTGGGACTTTTACCAGTATGGTTCGGTCCTTGCCTTCCTGTCGTTGACCCATCCGGAACAGATCAACTATCTCTGGCACAATTTGCATGTGCTCCAAGATTTCCTTTACTTGTTGGAGGTCATTTTCTTGTCTTTTTCTTTGATCTTTGTCGTTTAGTTCAGGGATGCCGCGGATGCGGATTCCGTTTTGATTTTCTTGTTTCGGGGTTGCGTTTATCGGTACCTTGGTTTTTGCTTCTGATTTGATCTCATTTGGCTTCATTGTGGTTTGGGAGAACAGCGTTTTAATCTCCTGTACGTTCTTTCTGAGTTCGTCCATGTCCTCTTCGATCTTCTTGAATTGCTTCGGCGAGGTTTGTTCAGCGTCACTGACTGCTTTTCGGAGTCTCTCATATCCGTTGGAATCCACACATTTGTTGCAGAGAAGAGCAATGTTTTTTCCCAGTGTCGTAATACCATTGATTGCTGTATCGCTTAGGCTGGTACAGCTTTTCGTCAGGTGCATTTTACAATTACACACGATGCAACAGAAGTATCTTCATTCTTTTTGATTTTTTGTTGGCAAGTTTCGCATACGGAATCAGTGGTCATTTCACGATTTCGTGTCATATTTGTTTGGTGAGGACTCCGAGTCAAAATATTCAAAGAGTACACTCAGTTATATACTAATGTAGTAAAACTAGAAAGGGGACTCCGAGTCAAAGGACTCAAAGAGTACAACCAGTACGAGTTTTAATAACCGTTTTATTGTGGGGTTGCTGAGCGTTGCCTCTTCTTGGCTCTTCGTCGATTCTTCGATGGTTTGCTTTTCGTGGAGCGGGTTTTGAAGATCGCGTGAAGGTTCGGATAGTAGTGCAAGACTACCGAGAGAGATCGTAGTTCTAGATCAGATGACTGGTGAAGCTCGCGATAAAGTCCTGTGATGTTTTCGTCTAGACTCTCTGATTTACTGATAAGATGTTTTGTAACGTCGATGACAATCGTGTCAAGAGTTCGTAGCTCGTCGAATTGGTTTTCTGCTCCCGTACGCTGACAGTAGACAATAGCAAACAGATTGTTAAAGCTTCTGAGAGTATCCAGGAGTTGCTGAGTCGTAAGGGGTTTGATCTTTCTTTTTAAGCTCTGTGATCGAGTTGTTGGTAAGATCGTGCCACAGTATAATAGATTTGCTCGTTGCTCGTATATAATCGGTAACGTTTTTAATTTTAAAGTTCGTCCTTGGGTTCAGGTTAAATCCCCCTCGGCGTAGACAATTTGCTTGACTATATTTTTCTGTTCAGGGGTTAGACCTTGTTCGATTGCGTGAGAAAGGGAACTTGCGGCTATGATTTCTAACATAGAGATAAAAATAAGGAAATAAGGAAAGAACTCAGCTGGTACTGGAGATGGAGAAAAGAAGGAAGACGCTTTTTTCCAGAGACCAGGTTTGTTGAGTTTGGTGTAGTGATAATCAGTAGTTAGAAATAGAGGGCCACCACGGCTGCCCTGTTATTCATTTTTAACTGAAAATATCTATTTAATAAGTTTATCACAACAATTATCTCGAAAACTTCAAGGATTTGAACAGTCATATTTGGAGGCAAGATTTTTAATTCCTTAGAGTACTCTGACAGCACCCAGCTACAAGGTTGCGAATTTCAAACTCATTGAAAAATAATGAATTAAGATTTTCTGAAATTTTTGAAAAAATCACAAAAAACGTCACATCTCGATAACTACCAGGATTTGAGCAGTCATATTTGGAGGCAAGACTTGCAATCCTTGATAGTACTCTGACAGTACCCAATTACAGGGTTGAAAACTTCAAGTTTTGTAACTTTTGTTTTTTGAAATTTCTGAAAATTTTTGGAAAAAATCTCAAAAATCGTCTTATCTCGTTAACTAAAATGATTCGGGCATTCAAAATTGGAGGCCAAATTCGCAGCCCCTAAATCGATATTGGGCTGCTTAATTCAAACTCGGTAAAATAACCACTAAAATCAAACTGGAAAATCGAAAAAAAATCTTAACCATTGCAATATACGATATAGCTTAAACATGCAAAAATAATACGTTGAAAAAGCTTAAACATGGCGCGATAGTGAAGCCCACATTTAAATATATAATAGATTTGCAACTTCTAGGAGCTGCCTGACAGCCGTACAACACGTGGTTGAAAACTTCAGGTTTTGTAAGTTTTTAAAATCTGTTTTTTTGAAGAAAAATATTCAAAATAGCATAAAATTCGCCATATCTCGGTTCTCAAAAGGATTTGATCAATCATATTCGGAGGCTCTATTTGCAACCCTTGAGAGTACCTCGAAAGCACACCACCACATAGAATTGAGAATTTCACGTTCTGTTAGTTATTTAAATCTGAAGTTTCATAAAAATGAAACAACTATTAAAAAAAAACAAATCTTGAAAACCAACAGGATTTGAGCAGTCACATTTGAAGATAAAAAATGCAACCCAATAAAGTACCCTGAGAGCTGTCGATCATAGGGTTGAGACTTTCAAGTTCTGCTTGTTTTTTGAAATCCAATTTAAAAAATTGAAACAATCATCAAAAAGGCCATATCTACAAAATCAAAAAAAGATTTCAATCATATTTGGAGGGCAGAACTGCAACTCCTCAGTACACGATGATAGCATCCCGTCATAGAGTTGAGATTTTTGAAACATTTTTGGTGTTTTTTAAATCTAAGTTTGAAAAAAAATGAAAAATTTACAAAAAAAACGCCATATCTCGAATACCAAAAGGATTTGAGCAGAATTACTTGGAGGCCAGATTTGCAACTCCTGCGTGCACCTTCTTAGCGCACCATCAAAGGGTTGAGATTTTCATTTGCAAACAAAGAGAATTGAAACTAAGAAAAAAAATCTGCACAGCTCAAGCATTAACGCTTCAACAGAAAAATAGTTAATATTCAACCTTGGGAATTTCAGAACGTTGAATTCGAAAAAAAAACATAGTAAACGTGGCAAAATATTCTCATTTTATTAAAGATGTCAAAATAGGGACTTCTTGGGGCAATATCGCTGACCTTGATCAATTGCATCGGTCGAAAATTGGAGCAATTTAAGTTAATTTATTGTTGGAGACATTCGACAACCATTTGGCATTAACTTTAAAAAACGCCATGATTAGTCGAACAAAGATTTTGAAGCTTAGTATTTTATGCGGCAAGTTTGTTTAAAAAAATGTGGCGAAGTTTGGCTGAAAGATTTTTTTTATGTTTTGGATAAATGTTTCTGAAAAAACCCAATCATTGAGCATTACTCCTCTCACGGGAGTACGGTCCCTGAGAAGACGACCGCGTATTCATACTCTTGAGTAAGTAGACAAAAACTATACAGTCCTGATTTATATTAACCAGACAAAGCGAATAAAACTTAATAAACGCGTTTTTCTCGAATTGGGTTCGTTTTCTTGTCTTTTGGTTCGCAAGTTTCGTTTTCTTGTCTTTTGATCTAAATTGAACCCAATTCAAGAAAAACGAACTGAAAATTTAGTCCAAAAATGTTTTTGGTTTTTTATTCAAAACGTACATGTCCAGACAAATTAATTTTAAAATGTTTAATTAATTTTAGAGGTTAAAAGTATTTTAATCTTAATAGTAATTTAGAGGTCAACTATATTGGCTAATTTTTTATCATGATGGTTTAGAACCAAATTGTATGTGATTTATTGTAAATAACATTTGTAAATTGATGTTTTATCGTCATTTAGAGTAGTTTATTGTAAAAATCCTGACGATGCACATAGTTGCGAAAACGTTTGAAATTTACTTTTTAGCAAAAATTTCTTCAATTTTACTTGTAAATTCGTGATAATCCAAAGGCGAATAGCTTGAAATTCCAACTGTTTTCCCATTAAAGGGCCAGTATAAAAATTTTTAATGATTTTCATCAATGTATAGAGAATTTTTATAGTGTTTTTTTTTATCGATACGTAAAATATGCCCAATTTTTATTTGAGTTACCGAAATGTTTCATATTGTAGCAGCTAGCTCCCTGTTCCACAGCATCAACACCCTCAACACAGGTGAGAAAAAGCAATACGAGAGCCTTGTTACAGCAATTCCTGGCCTATCCCTTAATAACAACCTGCTGAACCAAGGAAAGAACCTTCGACGACTACTGGAAGACAGTCCACTGAAGGAGAAAAAAGTGGTTGTGTGGCACGACGTGGTGAACAACACCATTAGCAGCCACAGAACAAACAACTATCGCCCAGCCGGTGTCGAGGAGCTGACAAACTATTTGAAGTCGAAGAAGCAGCAGATATTGGCGATCGTTTATTGCAGAAGGGAAGGAACGCCCGACTTATTTAGTCAGCTTCTCGGCACAGGGGTGCTCATTATTCAAGCTACAAAACGGCTACTCTCCAAGAGCAAGCAAAACGAACCGGAGCAGCTTAAGGAATATTTGAAGCTGCACCAGAGTGCTGATTTGGAGCTGAAATCTCTGCGATTGGTAGTGGCACACAAAGAAAGGCTGTCAGAGCTGATTGGCAATATCAGGGGCAAACAACAGAGACCATCACAGGCAAGGAGGAAGGCGAAAGCAAGACGTGAGCAGAAGCTTAAGGCAGAGGAAGTGTCTGCGCTTCAAAGACAGGGGTGAGAAGAGTGTGATTTGTTTTGCTTTGTGCCTTGGGAGTTTCATTACTCGTGGCCTGCAAAACAATGACCACAGTACTTTTGCCTGTTGTTTGGCTCAGACAAATTTTAAAAAGAAATTTAACTTAGAAAAATTCTTAAAATTCTTTAAAAAAGTTCAAGTATCTGTTCATAGACTGAAGTTTCTGAGAAAATGTCTGAAAAACGATCTAATACCGGACTTTTTGAAGTTTAGGGTCCCCGAGAACGGTTTTTTTTCGGACCAAGCTGTGCATAATTTTCAATTGAAGCTACTAAGGACTGAAACTTCTAGGGCAAATGAGGATAGGAAAAGGTACGAGGAGATGCTAAGAAAAGCAAGATCACTGGTGCAAAAAGAAATTGACAAACAGTGGTGGGCATCCATTTTCCGATTCGTGAGGCTACAAGTTGAGGCAAGCTTAAATACAACATCAGAAAACCATAGGAAAAAGTTAGAAAAACTGTCCGAGAGACAAGATAAACCTCTTGGGGGGAGAAATTAGCGATCAGTTAAGGTACTTGATAAAATTGAACTGCCTGAATTGGTATAAGAAGTGCTATCAATGGGCCCCAAGCATCCAATTAGAGACAAATTTAACAAAACACATTTTTTGGCGGATATCGACATTTTCCTCTCACAATTGAAAAATCAAAAAACGTCTGGTGAAAAGTTATGTGAAATAGAAGCCGCGGTAAAGGCATATGCAAAAAACGTACGGCAAACCCCAAGAGACAAAGCCGTTGAAAAAACGAGGAAATATCTCAAAGATAATGGGTTGCTGGCTGTGCCTTTTGATAAGGGGGTTGGTTTTTGCATAATGAGGAAACAAACATATGAATCAAAGCTGGTATCCTTGTTGCAATCTGCTCAGTTTCTGAAAAAAGATGCAACCACTGATGAGGTGATACTGAAAATTGAGAAGAAACTTAACAAAGAATTACTAGCCATGAACAAAAGAGACGAGATAAGTGATCAGTTATATTCTAAGATGAGATCAACAGGGGGGCAACCCGCAAATTTTTTACGGTTTAGGTAAGGTACACAAGGATGAGACACCCCTACGACCTGTACTATCACTTTCCGGCAGCTCTTATGAGAATCTTAACAAAATGCTTGCAAAGTTTTTTGACAATATCGATGGAGCAAATATAGAAACCAATACTAAAGAGGCTCGAGAAAAAATGAAAAACATTGCTCTAGATCCGGATGAAACCATAATATCTCTTGATGTGAAAAGTTTGTACACCACACACTGTTCTGAAGGAGTCAATTGAAATTGCTTTACAGAAGCTGTACAGCCAGGAGTCTCCTCCTGAAATTCAAAGAGCAACCATGAAAAGGCCTTTGAATATGGCGGTCAGCAAAGTATATTTCAAGTGTAATGATTCATGGTATGTACAAGTTGATGGTTTAGCAATGGGCGCGTCCCTCGCTGTAATTCTGGCAAACTTTTGGCTGAAAGAATACGAATTTGCTCTACGACAACAAACACCGGTGGGAACGGGGGTACAGCAAATTAATGACAAAAACGGCTTGTGCCCATGTTGCAGCAGGAAAGTCACATATAGATCAAAGGGGGTTGAATGCGAGAGTTGCCGAAACTGGTATCATCTAAAATGCGGGAAAAAATCCGATGACGTATACGCATCAATAACCGAGATAGTCTGGTTTTGTGAAAGCTGCTGCCGAGCTAAGAACAAGGAGAAGGATACTCCCCAGGTGAAATTTTTCCTCAGGTATGTGGATGACATTGTTAGAACAGTCAGAGGGGGCCGAGTTGTCTTCTCGATGCCGCCAATTCTCTTCATCCAAATTTGCAGTTCACTCTAGAGAAAACTAATTCGGAGAAAAATTTGCCGTTCCTGGATTTGAACATAAATGTATCGCAGGGTAGGCGTGTAACTTGCAATTGGTATCAAAAACCAACAGATACAGGGACTATACTGAACTATAGAAGCTGCGCCCCAACTCAGTATAAGCGTAGTGTTATCCAAGGCACTGTACACAGGGTTTTTAGGAGTACATCTAGCTGGGAGCAATTTGATAAGGCTATGGAAACTAATAGGGCGCAATGGCTGACAAATCAGTACCCGGAAAATTGGTCCGCAAAGGTGGCTTCAGACGCCTTGTGCAAGATCATCGAGGGTAAGGGCAAGCCCCTGGATAGTGACAGGGGTTTGTCAGTTCATTCACCAAAAGATGGGAAGCCCCCAATGCTGATGGTGCAACACCATTAGCAGCCACAGAACAAACAACTATCGCCCAGCCGGTGTCGAGGAGCTGACAAACTATTAGAAGTCGAAGAAGCAGCAGATATTGGCGATCGTTTATTGCAGAAGGGAAGGAACGCCCGACTTATTTAGTCAGCTTCTCGGCACAGGGGTGCTCATTATTCAAGCTACAAAACGGCTACTCTCCAAGAGCAAGCAAAACGACCCGGAGCAGCTTAAGGAATATTTGAAGCTGCACCAGAGTGCTGATTTGGAGCTGAAATCTCTGCGATTGGTAGTGGCACACAAAGAAAAGCTGTCAGAGCTGATTGGCAATATCAGGGGCAAACAACAGAGACCATCACAGGCAAGGAGGAAGGCGAAAGCAAGACGTGAGCAGAAGCTTAAGGCAGAGGAAGTGTCTGCGCTTCAAAGACAGGGGTGAGAAGAGTGTGATTTGTTTTGCTTTGTGCCTTGGGAGTTTCATTACTCGTGGCCTGCAAAACAATGACCACAGTACTTTTGCCTGTTGTTTGGCTCAGACAAATTTTAAAAAGAAATTTAACTTAGAAAAATTCTTAAAATTCTTTAAAAAAGTTCAAGTATCTGTACATAGACTGAAGTTTCTGAGAAAATGTCTGAAAAACGATCTAATACCGGACTTTTTGAAGTTTAGGGTCCCCGAGAACGGGTTTTTTTCGGACCAAGCTGTGCATAATTTTCAATTGAAGCTACTAAGGACTGAAACTTCTAGGGCAAATGAGGATAGGAAAAGGTACGAGGAGATGCTACTCCCCAGGTGAAATTTTTCCTCAGGTATGTGGATGACATTGTTAGAACAGTCAGAGGGGGCCGAGTTGTCTTCTCGATGCCGCCAATTCTCTTCATCCAAATTTGCAGTTCACTCTAGAGAAAACTAATTCGGAGGGGAATTTGCCGTTCCTGGATTTGAACATAAATGTATCGCAGGGTAGGCGTGTAACTTGCAATTGGTATCAAAAACCAACAGATACAGGGACTATACTGAACTATAGAAGCTGCGCCCCAACTCAGTATCCAAGGCACTGTACACAGGGTTTTTATGAGTACATCTAGCTGGGAGCAATTTGATAAGGCTATGGAAACTAATAGGGCGCAATGGCTGACAAATCAGTACCCGGAAAATTGGTCCGCAAAGGTGGCTTCAGACGCCTTGTGCAAGATCATCGAGGTTAAGGGCAAGCCCCTGGATAGTGACAGGGGTTTGTCAGTTCAATCACCAAAAGATGGGAAGCCCCCAATGCTGATGGTGCAATATAGAGGTAACCAGAGCCAATATTTTGCTAACAGGTTACGAAAATTAACTAACGTCCAAGTGGTTTTCACCACAAGAAAACTACAATCATGTTTACCATCACTGAAGTCAGCATTTTCTAATGACCTCAAGTCAAGAGTGGTTTATAAACTGTCGTGTAGTGGATGCACTTCCACCTATGTCGGACAAACTGTTCGACATTTGACCACTAGAATTGAGGAACATAAGAAAGCAGACTCACCGGTAGGACTCCACCTTCAGCAATGCGAACTTGAGGGAAATAGCGCAGATCTTAGTTGGGAAATCATAGATAGGTCAAACAACCAAACAAAATTGCTAAAACTAGAGGCAATACATATCAGGAAAGAGAAACCGGGCTTGAACACGCGCGATGAGTTTAGGAGCAGGGAGTTAACACTGAAAATTTAGTCCCAAATATTTTTGGTTTTTTATTCAAAACGTACATGTCTAAATTAAAATTATGACTCAGAAACTTCCAGACAAATGAATTTTAAAATGTTTAATTAATTTTAGAGGTTAAAAGTATTTTAATCTTAATAGTAATTTAGAGGTCAACTGTGATTGGCTAATTTTTTATCATGATGGTTTAGAACCAAATTGTATGTGATTTATTGTAAATAACATTTGTAAATTGATGTTTTATCGTCATTTAGAGTAGTTTATTGTAATAATCCTGACGATGCACATAGTTGCGAAAACAATTGAAATTTACTTTTTAGCAAAAATTTCTTCAATTCAAGAAAAACTCTTTGTAAAATTCATGTTATATTCATTTTGTCCCGATAAATTTATCCAGCACTGTATTAACTAATCAGAATGGAGATCAGAAAGTAGTAGTAGTAGTAGTAGTAGTAGTAGTAGTAGTAGTAGTAGTAGTAGTAGTAGTTGAGGCTTCTGGGAAGTCAAGCTTCCCAAGGGTTTATGAGTCCCGTCATTTACATGTTTTCATCAAGTTAAGTTTGAGTTTCGAGTTTTTTCCAGTTGTTTCAGTGAGTGCATTTGCAAAAAATTCTCCAAGTGCATCTGTTTAGATAATTGAATTTTCTGACAAAGTAATCCCAATAAAGTTTGCTTATTGATTTTTTGTCAGGTTGGTTCCATACATTCTTCGTAGTGTTTGATGACGATGTTGTGTAAGAGTTTCGTTCTGTGAAAAAAGTTTTCGTCTGATTTGTTCAGTCTGTTTTTGTTGACTGCATGTTCTCCTCTGCTGTGTTGGCGAGTTTTTTCTTCTTTACAAGATTCAACAGCAATTGATATGTCATATTTGGAATTTACATTATTTGGAAAGGATAAATACATGAGAAGATCGTGCATTTCACTGTAGAGGCATAATTGCAGTAGTTTAAGTTTGACTAGTCTTCCTTTGTAGTCAAGATTGCAATTAAGAATCCACTTTGCGGCCATTACTTGTACTCATTCGAAACTTACTAAGTTGGCTCTACTTGGTGACCAAGCTTGTGAACAGTAAGTTATAATTGGAACGATGTAGCCAGTATACGAGTGGAATTTGTTAACCCATGAGCACGTAGCGGATATGTTTCCTTTTAATTGGAAAAGGGCTCCTGTTGCCTTTTGGGAACGCATTTTACAGATTTCGTCTGATTCGTTAATGAAATATTTGTCTATATATTGACGAGTAAGATACGGCCGTTGTCTGTTTAGTAGTACATAACCCCTTTTACTATTTCAAAGGCAATTGTGAGAAAAAAGACTTCACTGCACTGCCATTTTTACGTCTCAAGGTCTGAATTATCTTAAAAATTTCAGATGATGTCCAAGTAATGTGTTAAAAAGTATTTAGAGAGTTGCAAAAAAGTAGAACAAACAAAGTTTAACAAAAACGCATATCATCTTTTCAGGCAATTATTGCATGCAGAAGCTAATTTTTAAGACAAACTATGTAACAAAGTCACATAAATAATCAAATTTCCATGCGAAAAGTGCTCAAAATTAGCAGATTGCTTTTAAATATTTCTGTCTCTTCCAAGTTTTTGCGATATATTATTTAGTTAAGGCCAGATTGTTGGCAAAATCGGCACCGCATTAAATATTTGAAAACTTTAAGTTGTGCAAGCTTTTACGATCTGTTTTTTATTTCGGAAATTATGTTTTTGTATTAGCCGAAAATTCGTTTTCGAAATTATAATTTAGGGAGAAACATTATTAAAATGTGAATTTGAACGTTTTCGGAACAATGTCCATCCTCAGGTTATTAAAACCGAAATAATTTGATTTACAGACTTTAAAACATTCCAAAAGACGATTAGGTGGTTCTAAACCAAAAATAAATTCTTTCCATTCGCTATCTTTAATTTTCCTTAAATTTCTGAGATATTGAATATTACTTAGCGTTTCCTATATCTAACTTTTCAATTTTACATTTTTTTCGATTGATGTTTTCGATATTTCAAACCGAAAATGATTTTGAATTAAAATCTAAGTGTTAGCTCCTTGCTAATGAACTCATCCCGCGTGTAGATCTCTGGCCTCAGTTTCCTAATAAAAAGCGCTTTCAGTGTTTGGAGTTTCATTGCGTTGAATGATCTATTATCTCCCAATTCAATTGCGCAGTGGTCGTTTCTTCCCTACAACAAGACAGCTTGTAGATCACATTGGGTTTCAGATCATCAAAGAAAGACGACTTAAGGGAGGGAAATTTCCTGTTCGTGAACACAATTTGTGCATTGGTGATGCTGCGAATCTTGTTTGCAAAGAATTGACTTTGATTTCCTCGATATTGAAGCATGAGCATTGGGGAGTTACTCGTCTCGCTTGTCATCAGTTGTTCAGGTTTCTGTCTTCGTTGGTATTAATTTATCTCCAAGAATTTTGCTTAGTGTTTCTGATTCAAGTTTAGATGACCACTCCTCTGGTTGATGATTTTCCTTCAATTATTATTACTATTAAAAGAAGTACAAAATACACAAAGGAGTTTTCTCCTAAACCAAGAGAACAAATGCGCACAAAACAGCTTATAAGCGCCAAGTAGAGCTCAAATCGTGATGGTAGTTGTCACGAAAATAAGAAATAGCGAAGCAAACGTCCTTTCAGCCAGATGGGCTCCACTAAGTCAACCATGGTGGGCAATTTATTAGCAAGTTTGGGAGCTCTGTATCTAAAATTCTGCTCGCACACCTTTCTTCGTGGTTTTTGAACATCAAAAAAATTCGGTCGGCTAGTTGCGTGCCGTAGCTGTGAGCGGTGACTTCGAGGTATCCCATAACATTTGTAACAGTCGCTTACTTAAGTCACATATGAGGTTAAAGCAAAATAGGCCCTATAACCTTTGGCTCAAGAGTCAGGGACACTATCTCTTGTGTGTTTCTACCTCAAGCGGTCGGAGCCAATTCGGTTCACTTGCGACATGAGACTAAAACCTTTGTTACAGCTTAAAGGCCACTACCAAAAAAAAGGTTTATTACAAAATTAAAAAAAAGGGTTTGTATAAATACCAAATGTCTCCTCACTCTAGAAAATAAGAAGGTCCCCATACTTAGGTCTCAAAATAACTAAAACACGAGAACGCCGTTAAAAACAGGGTCAGAACCCTACATATAGTTACTTTTTATTAGACAGTGGACCTTTGATCCATTTCAGATTTATCAACCTTAAAACTCTCTCTAACTCAACATAACAATATAAAACACACTCAAGAAATTTAAATTGGGTGTTCACATACCAGCACGATCTCTAGAATTGAGTAACTAAAATAATAATTAACTCTAGCACAAATGGAGTAACCACGTTTAACTCAAGAAGTTTCGAATAAGTCAGTTTTAACTCAAGAGACAAGTTTTGGTTCTGAAACTTTGAGAGACTTTGGTTGTCGACCTTTCCACCGAGGGTTCACTCTGGTCCACTTCTAATGTATATCTCCTCTACTCGCGATCACTCTGCCTTCTGTTTCGAATAAGACAGCTCTACTCTTGTTCGAATTATGTATCAGAAATTGCGAATAGCAATTTCCCGCTGCTATTTTTGACTATTTTGCCGAGATTGTAGTTCAACTCTTCTGATCTTATTTTCTGATATTTTCAGTTGTCGCGAGAAACCTGAGCATGACATGCTCAATTCAAATTTTTGAAAATTTCCATTTCATCCCAAAATCATGTCTTTTGCGTCGCTCAAGGTCAAACTTCCAAACATGACCGACTGGCACAATCAATATCAACAGCACCACTCAATAATTTAGAAAGCTGCATTAAATCAGTAAACTGTAGATACAGACTCAATGATAGAACTTTAGAAGCATTAAGAGAATCATGAGAATTTGATAGACCAGTGCACCAACGTAACACTTTTTTTGCACTGTCTCAAGTTTCAGGTCACCGAGATCTGGATACCAGCACGGGCAAGCATACATAAACTGCGGGAGAATCATTGACTTGTACAAATCTAACTTAGATGCCGTTGACAGATTGGGAGAACTGCGACATAGCATGAAAAAAGCGCTAAGGGCTTTTTGACATTTGAAGTTTACGTGTTGATGCCACTTCGAGTCAGGTGTGATAATAAGACCGAGATCTTTCTGCAAGTCGATAGGAGCAAGGACGTTGTCATTCATTAAAATTTCAATCTCCGATGAATGCAGGAAGCAAAGTCTATTGCACTTGGCAGGGTTCACAGTTAGATTAGATTCACGGCACCAGTTGTACAGCTTGTCAACATCACACTGTAGGTTGCTAGCAGGTAGCCCACAGCTAACAACTTGGAATCGTCAGCGCACAAGAGGGCCAGGTGAAATCACATGAGTCCGGTTGGTCATTGATCAGAATCAGAAAGAGTAATGGTCCCAGGAGAGAGCCCTGTGGAACTGCACTAGTGACTCTTGTTATCCGCAAAAACCTATCACTCACCTTGACGCGCTGCGTTCTACCAGATAGATAAGACTTCAACAGTTTTAGAAGCTTTCCACCGACGCCAACACGATAGAGTTTTTGGAGAAGGACACCATGTTCGACTTCGTCAAAAGCCTTTTCGAAATCTGTGTACACCACTTGTACTTCTTCGCCGGTGGCGACGCTTTTGTATACTTTGTCAAGATAAACCAGATAAAACAGATTGCTTTCTATTGATCAGCCTTGCTTTATGGTAAAGTTCCCATGTAGATGTGCTCCTAAAAAAAATGTGCACCGTACCTTCTGTTACATTTTTTTGTGCTGCAATGTTGCGCAACTTCTGAAGTATAGAAGCCTGCCAGTATCCGTTGGTTTTTGGTACCATCCACATTTAACTTGCCTGTTGCCATCTACATTTATATTAATGTCCAGGAAAGCCAAGTCAACGTTCTCATTTGGTGTTTTAAGCGTGAATTGTAAGTTAGGGTGCAATTTGTTGGCAGCATGCAATACCACGCTCGGGTCACCTTTAACAGTCCTTACAATATTGTCTACATATCATAGGAAAAATTTCACCCCTATCATCGTCATCTCGCATTCACTACTCTCATTGCACAATTTGCAGAACCAAACTTTTTCTGATATGTCTTTGTAATCCTCATCCGAAATACCATCACAATCTTCATGACACCAATTCAAACAAATTTTACATTTCACTTCCTAGTTTCTGAAAGTCACCCTTCTTTTGCATTTTGGGCATTTTCCGTTCATGTCCTCTAGGATATCAGTCTTTTGAGGGATATCCATAGAAAGAAATTTTTCACAGTCTTCTACCCAAAGTTTTGCCAGAATGACTGCTAGTGCACATCCAGGGGAATGATACTCTCATTAGAAACTAATTTAGTATTCTCTATCATAACCCTAGCTGCTTCAGTGTTGGTCTCAAAACATGCTCCCTCAATATTATAAAAAAAAATTTGCTAGTATTTTATTCACTTTCTCATAAGAACTACCGGGAAGAGAGAGGACCGGTCGTGGCGGTGTATGACTTTTATGTACGTTAGCCAGTCCATAAAGTTGTGCTGGTTGACTACCAGATGACCTCAACCTCGCATATAAGCCATCTGTGATCTCATCCCTTTTGTTCATGGCCATTAATTTTTTGTTCAGGTTTTTTTTCATTTTTTGAACAACTGAATCATTCATATTATCATGTCTCTCAAATTGTTCTGATTCTAGCAATTGGGTCAGTTTTCCTTCAAATGTGTGTTTTTTCATGACGCAAAACCCAACACCCTTATCAAAAGGTACCGCCACTAGTTCGTTGTTTTTGAGATCTTTTCTAGCTTTTTCAATTCCCATATCACGTGAAGTCTTGCGTACTTTTTTGTACCACTGAGCAGCCGCTTCAATTTCACATAATTTTTGGCCAAGCACGTCATGCTTCTTCATTCAGTTCCGAAAAAAAATCTATGTCTGCTAAGAAGTGGACTTCATTGAATTTGTCTCGGACTGGATGTTTAGGCCCCATAGACAGTAACTCATCCACCCATCCCGGCATTTTCATATCATTTAGTACTTTTACCGCTTTTTTGTGTAACTTTCCAGGGGGTCTGTTTTGTCGATCATCTAACTTCTCAATTTTCTTAGAGTGACTGAGGCGCGTGGCTAAAGCGTTGTCCCTTGCTTGACGCAAAACATTTTTAGTGACCGATGGCCATAATCTCTCAACAATTGTTCTCCTAACTATGTCCCTTACCTTGCCGAAGCCTTCCGCTGCCCTACCGCGTTCCTCTTTTGCCCTACCCATCTCTGTCCTAAATAGTTTAATTTGAAAGCTGTGAACTGCTTGGTCTGAAAACACCCCATTCTTAGGTACCCTAAACCGCAAAACATTTGGTATTATATCGGTATCTAGGCACTTTCTTAGAAAATTAAGGCAAAATTGGCTATTGTTAAAGCTATTTAAGTGCTTTTCATGATTCAATACAGTTTTCTGAATCTCAGGAACGTCGGTCGTAAAGACATTGTGTTCATTGCACTGCTGGCCACGAGAAACAAAAACTAACAAGGCTCTAACAGCGCAAATCCAAAGTGCAACTAACCTCACTGTGGTTTAGACTTGTCGTCCTCCTGCTGTCTATCCTCAGCTACATGCTTCACCTGCGCCCTGCGCCGGGTCTGCGAATGTTTTTTTTTCCTGCTTCTTTCTTTAGAAATCAGCTCAGGCAACCGCTCCTTGTGCTCCCAAACCAGGCGCAAAGACTTTAGTTCGAGCTCGTGTTGTTTGTGGAGCTCGCTGTAACCTTCGATAATCTTGGGTTGACACTTTTGCTTGAAAATGGAGTCCAGAAAGTTTTCGACCGAGATGGTTAGAATCCCCGTCTTTATCAATTCCTCCAAAACGTTTTGGGTCCCCTTCCTTTGACAGTATATGGCGGCTCGAATATGATCCTTTCTATCTTCTAGATTTTTGATGAGACCTCCGATTGAGCTAGGCGAAAAATTGTTCGTCCCTCTTGCTTTTCAAAGAGTTATTGATAACGTCGTGCCCAAACAAACAGTTATCCTTTTCCCTCAGTGGGCTTTTACCGTGCAAATTCAACAGATTCTTGTCCCTGTTGACTTGATTGTGATTCAATGCAAGGCCCGGTATAGCTGTGACGTGCCCCAAATACTTTATTTTTTCCTCTGCGTCGAGGTATTTCAGGCTGTGCGCAAGGTAACTGGCTGCCATAAAATGGATCTTTCTCCACATAAAAAATTTAGAAAATGACTCTAAAAAGAATTTAAAAAAATAGCAAAATTTTTTTATTTATCTTTCTCAAAGTTTCAAATAGCTAAATGTTTCTCAAAAACCTGCGCCCTCGGGTGTGTAGAACAGTTCAAAATTCAAGTTTTTAGCTTTTTTGGGGTCTAAAGTTACTTATAAACTGTTGAGAAGAAAAAAATTATTAAATTGTGAATTCGAAAGTTTTTGGAACTATATCCATCGTCAGGTTAACAAAATTGATGTAAAATGTATTACAGACATTAAAACATCAAAAAAACCATTAGGTGACTCTAAACAAAAAACAAATCTTCCCACCAATCAAATTTTTGCAATATTACTTCAGAATTTCTCAATCTTAAATTTTCCTCAAACTTCTGTGATTTTTAATCTTACTTAGCGTTTCCTTAGGCTAACTTTTCGATTTTAAATTTTTTCGATTGACATGTTCGGTATCTTAAGCCAAAAACTTTTATGAACTAAATTCTAAGTGTTAAGGGTCAGTTCACCTGAAAATAAGGGTCAGTTTCCCTTGAGTTATAGTTTCGGGAACTGACACTTTAATTTTTTTTAGAAATTAAAGCTTAAGGGAACTGCCCCTTAAATTATATTTTAGAAAACAAATTTTCGGCTTATACAAAAACATATAAATTTCGAAATAAAAAATTGACATGTTTCGAAATTGGAAACGAGACAAATTAAAAAAATAAACAAAATTTTATTTACTTAAAAGATAGAATTAAGAGAATGTCTCAGAATGTTAGGTCTGATGAAATAATCATAAAAAATTTTGGCGCGAATTTCAAAATATCAAACTTCTGATTTGTTGATTTTTCATAATTTTGTATTGCCTATGTCTTAGGATTTTTCTATGATCGATGGTCATTTAAAAAAAAAATTCTTTTTAACCTGATGATGCACAAATGTGCAAAAACGTTCGTAATTTATATTTTTAATTTCACTCTATCTCGTTCTGAGTTTTGTAAAACAAAAACACCCAAAGGCGGTGAGCTAGATTTTAAACTGGTTTTTCATCTCAATGAGGAACCAGTAAAACGTGTACGGAGAATTGTTCAGAATAATTCTGAAAAATTGTACATAGAAATGTACAAGTTTTCAAAATAATTTTATAATTTTTTCCTCGAAGAATTTATTGCTCTTTGTTTTTGTGTCTCTCCTTTTTATTGTGCTGTTTCATAATGTCAGTGCCAGACTGGCTTATATAATAGCCACAAGTTCGCTACACCATGGTTTAAAGGATCTGCAATCGGAAGAGGGAGACACTCACTCAATCCAAACACAAACAACAGGGAGACTAACTTGCAATTTCTCCAAGACAAGTGTTCCTGCATTTAAGCGAAGACATTGTGGTGTGGCACGACGTCATCAACAATTCAATTAGCAATAATAGATCAAACAACTATCAACCCGATAGTCCAGAAGATTTTTCCAACTATCCAAAGACAAGAAGTACATGAGCCGGGGCAATAGTGTATTGTAGGAGGAAGAGCCAGCCCGAAATTTAGGAAGCGCTGAGACAAAAAGGGAAATTTATCATTCCCGCGACCAAGTACCTCCTATCGAAGAGGATGGGAAAACACGAGCCAGAGGTGGTGAGAAAGTACTTGGAGCTTCATCAAGATAAAGCCCTGGAGTTGAAGTCACTCAGGCTGTTAGTTGAGAATCAGGGAAATCTACCAGGACTGATTGGCAAGACAAGATCAGCCGAAAGTAGACCCTCACAGACAAGGAGGAATACACTAGCGAAACGGAAGGAGAGGGACCAAGCAGACGTTACTTCATCAAACTGTTAGTGTTGTTTTGTTTGTTCTTTGCCTCGTGAGGTTCATTCCTTGTGACCTGCGAAAAAATGAACTCAACAATTATCCTGCCACCATCTTTACGACGGATACTAAAGAACAAAATTTCGTGGAAACTGGTGCTAAGTTAATTTAACGGTATCTTAAACCAAATAATTGTTTTCTTAGACTTAAGTTCCTGAGGAAATGCTCACAAAACGATATAATACCGGACTTTTTGTGATTTCGGGTGACGGAAAATGTTTTTTTTTTCGGACAAAACTGTTCCCTGTTTTCAGTTAAAGATACTCAAAAGTGAAAAAGTAAGGCTAGAAATGGCGAGAAGAAGACTAGCGACAAGTTAGGGAAAGCGAGATTGGTAGTGCAGCGGGGGTTGATAACAAATCTTGGCCGTCAGTTTTGCACTTCATTATAAATGTGAACAGAAACAGTTCAAGCACAGTAATTGAAACTCTCAAAAACAAATCGCAAAATTTTCAGCAAGACAAGATAGATCGTTAGGCAAAGAAGGTGACAGGTCAGTAATAGATGATTTCAGGGCATTGATTTGACAAGTTGGCTGCAAGAAGTTTTATCCCAGGGACCCAAACCCCCGGTTCGCCCTAAATTCAAAGGAAATCATTTTTTGGCTGATGTCGATCATTTTTTATCCCAATTAAAAAATTAGAACGTAACAGGGGAGTCGCTGTGTGAGATTGAAGCGGCGGCTGAAGCCCATGTAAAGCGAATGAAACAAGCACCATCTGATAGAAGCAAAAAATTAAAAAAATATATCTCAAAAACAACAATTTTTTTAGTAGTGCCATTTTAAAAAAGGGTTGGGTTTTGCATCATGAAAAAAGAACAAAAGGAAGCCAAATTTTAGAAGTTTAACACTCAGACCGATTTGAAGCAATGAATAGCACTGATAATTCGGTGATGTTAAAATTTGAGAAAT